GAGGCGCGAGGCCGCGCGAAAATTCTACTATTATGCATGTTGGACCTCCACATCCTGGTCCAGCAGATGCTGCACCTGCGCCTGCTAGACCACGCATTGTTGCAGAGCAGCCTGTACCCCTAAGGTTTAGGCCGGGTGCATTTGTCTAGATTGCACTTGAATCTAGTCGAAGATTTCACATTGCTCGCGATTGTGATGGACTTCACCAAGCCAGGTATGTGCAGCGAATCACTTTTGGAGACATGCACAAGAGACTGCCTCGAAGGTTTACCATATGTTGGTACTGTGAGGCGATGATGAGGCATATGCGCAGACTAGGAAATGTTGACATGATTGAGCACATGTTCCAGAATGTGATTCTTGGTGAACCAAAGCATCATGACCAGACATAAATGAGCCCGACGCCAAACCAAATCGTTGCATGAATTTTATTTCATCAAGTAGTATTTTGGTCGTGTAGTTAGTTCCAAGGGACTAACTTTGCCCTGAGGAAATTGCCGTTGCTTGAATTTTGTTGAAGAGATAAATTGCTTGAGTGGCCGGACGCTTCACCATTCCCTCCAACCTCGTGTGAGAAAGGTGCCAACTTAAGAAGTTGTGTTCCACAGTTGCGCAGCCGAAACTGTGAGTCGCATTGTTTGGGACGCCTCGTGATGTGATACAAAATCCCTTATGTCGTAAGAGCTTCGGAATAGACAGCGGCTACGGGCTGTATGTCATGCCATTTGTGTGTGTATGAGATGATGTGGCTTATATTTTGCAAAGTGCACAGGTCAGAGGTTAACAACATTTTGTACATACATCCTGAAGACCAAGATTACACTTTTGCCCAGGACTGTGGTAAGCCAGCAAAACCAACCCACAGCTCAAGGCTGATCAGCGTGTCCGTGATGGTCAGTCCCATGGTCGATTCACATGCCCTCATCGAGGGAGGTAGTGAGGAGGCTGATAGTGATTCACGTAGATTCAAAACTGAGTGAATGGAACTTTTGTGGGCACGAAACCTCGTGCCGGTCAGGCAGACAGGGAAGGAGGGGTTTTGAGAAAGCAAAAATGACATGAAGGAAGACGAGAGGAGACAAGGAACCGAGGAACCCGGCTGAGGAACCCACATGAAGGGAGACAAGCGAAGACAAGTTGCCCAGGAACTCAGCAAAGGAGACAAGCGGAGACAAAAGGGAGACAAGGAGCTCAGGAACCCGGCAAAAAGAACAAGGAGCTCAGGAACCCCGCATCAGGAACCCACATGAAGGGAGACAAAGGGACACAAGCGGAGACGACAAGGAGCCCAGGAACCCGGCAAAAAGAACCCACAAAAAGGGGAACATGCAACGCAGTTCAAGGCATCCCAGTCCCTACCATCTGTTTTGCAACATTGGCAGCACATGATGGTCCTCGAAAGTTCGCAACCGAAAGGAGACGGCCTGTCGCCTCCACTGAAGCATCGTGTCGATTTAGTCCTGCGGCACCCCAATTTACTCCCTGCGCACGTAGATTTTTTCAGCGCGCCGTGCTGTCAGAATCTGAACTTGAACTACTGGAACCAGGAGGAAAACACTTATCACATCTGCGGGCACCGTCCGGCAACTGATCAGTCCTGACAAAGGAGTTGAGCCCACGCGGCCAACCACAAACAGTCCTCCAGGTTGTAGGCGAATGGAGATATCCATCCACCGACGGGCGATGCCGAGTGCGTCGCCTGTCTGGATTCTGAATGTAGCTGTTGAGAAACGCCAGGAGCTGCTTCTTCAGGATCGAGACCTCTTCTTGGGCCATCTTGCGGAGAGGGCCTTTGATCCTCTCTGCAATGAACTTGGCACGTTCCATCTGGCTCGGCCTGGCCGCGCCTCGTTTCTTGATCTCTTCAATGGCGTTCGAAAGCTCATCCAGTCGCTCATGGAGCTCTTGGCGGGCCTTGCTACGTCTTGGCGGCGTAGTGAACCAGCATTGCGCTCTTCCAATGTGCCATCAACTCCACCTGGTAGAGATGAACTCCTTCGCTCGAGAGAAGGACGGCTCCACCTGCGCAACGAGTGGCCCCCGAGGAGCTCGTTGCCGTCGGCATCCTTGAGAGCCAACCCGATGCGTCTACGCCAAGCCTTGAGCGTCTCAACGACGAGTTCCAAAGCAACCGTTTCCCCCGCCACGTTCGGAAAGAAAGGAAGACAAGCCGTCCTCACCTGACGTCCAAATTTCTCAGTGAGGTGCTCGATCTGCCTAACCGCAGCATGGTCATCTCTCAAAACGCGAGTCTAGGCTGGCATCGGGATAAGCATAATCTTCTGGGTTCTGGCAATTGGGCGGTCCCTTTAGGGTTGTTTCAAGGTGGAGAGACTCGCATTTTGTTGGAGGGTCAAACTCAGGAAGAGGCGGAAAAGAAAGTCGCAGGATCTCGGATTGCGGTTGGACGTATGTAGTGGGCCAGTTTCCTTTAATGCTCGCCGGAAACATTGCGTTCGGGAGTTTCAAGGGGATAGGATAGTATTGGTGGGTTACACGCCACGGGGTATTGGGTATTTGACTAGGGAAGACCTACAGACCCTTAGTAGCCTGGGATTCCCCTTACCAGTTTTCGATGAGTGGTCCCTGAGCCGACGCCGAATCGTCCTCAGACTCCGACTTGAAAGAGGCTTCCGAATCTTCTTCTTCAGAGGGAGAATGGGAGCATTATAAATCGTCACCCCAAGGATTGCACGCCTTCTGTGTGACCTCAGACCAGCAAGACGAGTTGTGTTCTAAAGCAGTGTTTCTAGGGCGTGTGGTTCGGCAGGAGGGTCTAGACATTCTGGAGGAACTGAGGGTTTCTAGGCACGCTGTTTTGGAAAGCGTACGCGCACTAAGAGAACTGGAGTCTCTACTTAACAGAGTGGAGCAAGAGCTTGAGCTGAGCGACGCCGTAAAGGGTGTCGAGGATTCCGTGGACCAAATTTGGAGTGGGTGTGTCGCGCCAAGCTTGCCTAGTTTAGGGTAGCAGACTTTCAGGTTGGCAACCCTTGGTTGAGCTCACTTCATGAGTCCAGCTTGGGTCCTCAGCTACCCAGGCATCGGGAACGGGGGCGTTAGTAGCCAGCAACGAAGAGTTGGAAATATGGTATCAAACCCAAACTGTTGATTTTGAAGTAGCGGCCTCTGAGATTGAAAAATGGGTTCCCGCTCTTACGGAGGAGTATGTGGGCCTCACCACTCAGTATAGGGCTATCACCCCCGTTAAGAAGTCGGACCTCGCCCAGGAGGATATAAATAGTGGGGCGATAGAAGAAGTTCTCCCGGCCGAGGTAGTTTACACA